CAGGTTAATTCAATGAAAACCTATTTAGGATGCCTTTAGGATGTGATCTGAGTTCAGCTTTAACGCAGACAGATGAAGAGTTGAGGTCAAAGGTTCTCAAAACATTTGCAGCTCAGGCTTCAAGTACAGTAAATTTCTCATCCAGAAGGACCAGAGCGAAGGAATGTAAACAGATCTTGATGCGCTTCCTGAAAGATTTGATCAATTTCAGCCTCAGTTCATTCTTTTCAGCTATAGCCTCCTGAAACAATGTGTATATTGGACACAAATATAAATCTACAATGTATATTGTGTTAAGTGTCCTCTACATCTTGTCACAGGATGCACATCGCGGAAGGTTGTGACCACTTTAACTAGATAACTAACACTTTTTGGAGGACTGAAGAAGATTTTCCTGTTCTGGTAACTATTTTACAACTGCTTAGGTTTATCAAGCCCCAGCTTGAGAACAACTGGACACTTCCAGGACCAAAATTAGCATTTAATAAGGGGAATAACCTATTTCTTTCTCATTTTAATTCCAGTTCTCCAACAATTTCTTGAAAGCTCTTTTTCCCATTGTAAACACTCACGGTCTGCTAGGAGATCAGGTGTTTAATGTTTCCACTTCGGCTGAAATAAACAGAAGAATAAGAACCAAATGTGTAATTTGTGTGAGCCATCATTCCGTTGGCTGAAAAGGAGAAGACAGAAACTCAACTTTGGACGCTACAGTTAATGCTGATCTAGAGGAACTGGAGCATAGAAACACAGCAAAGATGCAAAAAATGCCTTGTAATGCTTCAAAACTTCCCCGCTGCAGAGGATGCAGAAAGCCCCTTTTTCCACTCTAGGACCCACCAGAAGAAGCCCTACAGCCCATTCTGGGCCCCTGCCCCAGGGTTTGGGCAGCCTGGCTGTCAGTAAACCCCCAGAGGACCGGAGCTGGAGTCAGTTAGTGAGCTGACCTGGGTTCAGCTTTGACGCTGACCTCTAAATGGTCCGGGTCACGGCAGAGCGAGAGGGAGCCGACCCCAGAACTGTAAATGGGCTGTTTGAGTGAAAAGAATATATATCCGCCCGAGGGCAGCTTACTGTGTTACACACGCACATATCAGCTCACGAACCAACACTCGCAGACAAACGCATCATTCACACACTTTTGGACACACACATACAGGAAAAACACACATGCATGTACACATACCCCCAAATTCATAAAATGCACAAAAAAACGTGAAAAGCAAACAAACATGCAGAGGCCTAACTGCAAATTGCCGTGACAACACTAACTGGTTTGACCCCAGTTTACTCCTGGGGAAAGAGATATGTATGACTGTGAAGCGCACACACACACACACACACACACACACACACTGCTAACATATGTAAACATAAGTGCCAAAGAAGCAGTACTATGAAGTGCTGTAAAACAGTTTGGTCCTGCATTTATATGAGAAAGACTCCTTCTCTCTTTCTCTCTTTGAGTGTTTTTTTTACAGAATTATACATAAGGGCAAACCTTTCTTTTGCCTTTTTTTATTCTGTCGGGAATTAAGATTTAGAGCTACTGTAACCGTCACACTGCAGGAAACCAACAGAGAGAGCTCCTGAGCGTACGTTTAAGTGTGTGTTCAGGGACTAATTTTAGCAGGTAGTTTATTTCCTGTTTGAGACACACCTCTCACAGAAGTGGTGTGGGAGTGTGAGAGTGTGTGCGCACAAACACGGCTTCATCTTTTGCAGCGTTTATCCTCGCAGTGATTCTGGTTTACGGTGTAATTTGTGGCTGAGGGTCCCGCAGCGAAGCCTTGATACATTTAATACAATCAAATCAAAAACTGCTTCAGTCGCCAACAGCTGTTAAAATGGAAACCAACTACCTGCTCGGTTGCTGCAAGTCGCTCTGAGATAAACCAAATATGTACAGAAGCTGTAGATGTGGTGCTGGAACTATAAGCCATTTACATCTGTTCATCTTTTACCTTTTTCTTCTATGGATCATAGGATTAATAGCTGCTACTGTCATGGTTTTATGAGGTAGAAATGCATTCAGCATGTTTGTAATGCCCTAAAGGTGTACTCCAGTGAGTCAATATTGTAATTCCATTCATTTGGGGGATTCAAAAGAGACAGATTTAAAAATAATACATGGTCAAAATCAGTGCTGCAGAGGTAGATGTGTCCTGTTTTTTTATTTTAGGTCAATCACCTACACTTCCCATAATGCAGAACTTCTGTTGACCTTCTTTGCCTGTTTACATTTTACAATTGTTTAAAAGTAGCCTAACTTTACAGTAATGTTTTTAGCTTTTAGCTATAATTTGTCATTGCCCATTGATTTCTTCTTTTGGTCTTCCAGTGTGTGCCCAAAATAATAGAAAAACACCTCATTATTCCATTAAAAAAGATGTTTATTTTGAAGTAAAGCTGCTGCAAAGAGTAGGCCATGTGCTATACTCAATGTTTAACCCAAGAACTGAGTCCATATTACGTCCGCACTTTACAATTTACGTAAAATGCTCAACGGGCTTTAAATGACAAGTAAGGGTGAGGAGGTCGGGGTGGTGTTTTCGTTCGCCTTTTTATTAACTGTAACACATTCTTTTCTCAACCATAACGATAACGCAGTTGTTATACGCAGGTATTATAGAAACTGAACATTTGCAGAATCGTCCGATATCGACATTCTTCCTCTTTCTTCATGCAGTTTGCTGATTTTCTTCTTCATGTAATAAAAGATTAATTCTGGTTTTAAAGGCTTTATTCACACAAAGACTAATTGCTTTGCTTTATTAACTCCCCATGTTTCAATGGACAGGTGCATCTCGACTAAGTTTTTTCTTCGTCGCACAAACGAAGGTAAAAAATGTTGAAATCACTTCAAATTCTCGGAGGACGCAGTGTCAAATACCTGTCGAAACCGCCATCAAAAACGTACAAGACTCGCCTCCGTCTTCATGTCGTTCTTGGCAGTTGCAGCTCATCGCTCTCTCCCTTTCTTGCGACGCACCTCACATCTTAACGTTTCTCTGTGTGAACTCGGCCTAAATTGAGCACAGATGCTTCGGCTTCTTTGCAGCTCTGTTAGCTGTTTCATGTTGCTTTGAAAACTCTGATTGCCAGACTGCTTTTATAGATGAAAAATGCTGCTAATTAGCATTCAGCCCCAACACACGCCCCACCTCTGTAGCTGTGTTTGTCATTGCGCTTAAGCTACTTCAGATGTTAAGACCTTTTCATGAGGTGTTGACATTATTTTATCTACACCGTGCATTTTGGAGATTTGTTTCTTGAGGTTTTCCTGTAAAGTTTTACTCAATATCTTGCAGCTGCATTGCATTCTGGTCTACATCAAGCTTCTGTGGTTGTACACATCTATATATATTTCTATAGAAAACAGTGTCAGCTCCTTGTAGCATGTGTTTCTTCTTGTTGAACGTGCAAAATGTCGACTGAAAAGCAATCGCTCTTTGATTTTAGGGGATTGACACCAATACACAATATTTAAAGCTGTTTTCTACCATTGACTTAGATCATAGTGACTGGAAATAGCCACCTAAATGTGGCCTACCAGGTGAATTCTTATTTTAAGAGAGTATTTTTTAAGAAACTTTTATCCCTCCTTCCTTCACATTTGCAGATTTCGTTTTCTTTTTCTCCCTCTTGACGATCTGTCTGGGTACAAACTGTTGACCTGAACTGTTTTCACAGCTCCTGTACACTTCCTCTTTTAACTGTGGCACACACACACACACACACACACACACACACACATTAGCACACACACCAGGTCGCCGGCTGGCCTCTGGAGCCCTTGGGGTGTGTGTGCGTGTAAGAGTGGGGTTGTTTTCCAAGCTACATTTTGCTGCCACATGGATGTAGAGTGGTT